GTAGGATTTTTTGGTGGAAAAATCTCGATTTTTTTTTTTTTGCTCTCCGCAACTCCACATCTTCTGCCTTACGACTTAGCCATTCTCGTCTACGGACTTTTTTATTCCACCTTATAAACCATTCAAGACATTTTAGAAATCGGGCAATTTTTACTAAAATTCGCACCCAAGTATACAAAGCTGTTCGTTGCATGAGAATGACAGCAAACATGAGTAAGTGAAAATGAATAAATTGTAAAAGTACACACTAAAACTGAGACCTTCAAAGTATTCGTAAAAAAAAACGTCAGTTCTATGTGTTCTTAAAAAAGCGGCAAATCAAATGCCTTAGATCTAATTGAAAAAAAAAAAAAGAGGAAAAAGTTACATGTTCTGAACTTCTCAACTATCAGTCACAAAAGAGCCCTACTTCCAGCGCCAACTCGTACCAAAAAACTACAGATTAGAGAGCCTCCAAAACTGTAATTTAACAACTTTATTGCAAATCTTAGCTGAGTTACTTTCCGCCATTGTTCTTCTCAACGATTTCCAGGTGTGGAGACTAGCTTGAAAAAAAAAAGCCTCCGTAGAGATACTTGAGGAAAATTCAGGCCTTTCTTGCCAGGCAAGCGACAACAGGAGCACTCCCACTATTTGTTCAACGCGGTTAGCAGCATATTGGCTGGTTGACGTCAGACAGCATGGTTTTTCCAATTTAAAACTTAGGATTTTATAAATTTCAACCAGATTTCCGCCAAATTAGACTCGTCTCAAGGCTTGAACGTTTCCTACTGAAGGGCTATAAGTGAGGTGCGGTCGGTTGGGAGTACCTCGAATTGGCTAAAGCCGTAAGCTGCAAGTTAATTCTGTTCATCCATGGAGGTTGGGTATAGTGTTACTTCAGATCACTTAATGGCTGTTATGTAGACCTTCAAAATTCCTCAATTTCGCAGTTCTAACTTTTCTAGAGCTGAGATCTCCGAAAAAAATAACTGTACTCTGCAGAACCTGAAAACCCAGTATTTTGTAACGTCTTTATAATGTCATATCGTTGTATCGTGATTAAGCAAAAAACAGGTTCTCGACCCCTTAATAATTCACTTATTTCTAGCCTTGACCGTCTTTTTAAGAAGAATTCATGAGTCAACAACCAGGTATATTTATAAAAAAATTTTATGAAGTCAGATGGTGGAGGTGCGCAATCTAAGTCATAATTTGTTAAAATTATGCAGTTTGCTCGGGAAGAAAAAAAAAAAATCGAATTTGATTCGACCCTGCAAAATACCAAATTTTTTTTGTTCTTCTTATGAATTACAGACCTGCGACGTTTGCTCACTTTTTTAACTGCAGCACTTTTGAAATATACTAAATGTGAAATCCAACCTTTCTACTATTTTTTGCATTCTTGTGCGTGCACTTTTTGGTTACTTCGTATCTTTTTTACGGCTGCGGCAATTCCCGTCTTCTCAACTCGCTTAATTACGATTCAATAATTACACGTTCTAGGAACTGAAAAACATCTGATCCATCATTTTTCTGGAGTCAGGATGCTGCCACTTGACGACTTCAATTTCATGCTGGCTAGTTGATGAAATTTTCATTACAAAATTTTTTCAGCAAACTTTTATAGAGCTTTTTTTTTGTATTCTGCAAATTAATTTCAAACAGTAATGATGAACACACTGTGCCAAACGTTCATTTATACATTGTCTAACGTTTACATTGGAGTCAAGAACCTTTTTATTTCCTTCTAACTGTTCCCTGAAATAGCCCCTAAAAATGACAACTGGAACTGATTATTGACAATCAGACAGTTGAAAAAGGTAGACATAAAGATTGAACACTAAAAATTCAAGAGAGAAATATTTGTAAGGTAGACACACAAAAAAAGCCACTGCTATAGGAATGCACATTTGATATGCAGTTTTTTAACAATAGCTGAAGCTGGTAACAAACGAAGTAGTAAGAAAGCTTGGAAAATTAAACAGTTTCGTTTGACAAACTTTCGTCTGCAAAATCCATTCAAATTGACCACAGCTTCTGCCAAAAAACAGTTCTGAAGTAGCTCAGTCCAAAAAATGTAGTTCAACAGGTTCAAAAGTTAGTGATTCGGATAACGTAGCAGTCGCTCGCTACTCAATTTCAACTTTTTTAAATGCTAAGCAAATTAATTCAAGCTGCTAACAAAACTGAAGTCTCGCGTTCTAGACAGAGACCATGCAGGAAATGGAAGATGCATATAGCGCCAAAGAGCACACTGTGACAACAATTATACTTTAAAATTCCCGTCTCCTTTCAAGTTAAAAAATAGTGAAAACGGGAAATAAAAAACAACCAGGCCCCCCAATTCAGTTTCATTCTTGATTTGCATGTCGGTCATCAGTCTGATTCTGAAGGAAAACACTTTTTAACAAGAAAACTAAAAGTTCTAACTTTCCACTGTTCAATTTAATGAGAATGAATGCTAGGCAAAAATAAGAAAAGTGTACAAAACTGAAAAGTTAGAACAACCCTTGTTTCATGACAAAAATTAAATATTCTTTACAATGAGTCAGCTCTAAGCTTCATAAAGCAAACTGCAATTATGCGTGTGAAGCAAGCCGTTCAGAAATATCTTTCGCGGCTATTACTTTCCTAACAAAAAAAATTACGAAAGCTATAAATGGTAATTTACTCCATGCCTCTAAATAAAAAGATATTCCCTAAAAAAAATTTAATTAAGTGTACTTGATTCAGTCACCTAATCTTTTACAGAAATCCAAGCCTAAACCTTGCTCAAAAAATTCCACTCAATTTCAGACCCTAATTACTCGAAAAACAATATTTATCAGAAGTCTTCTGAAGACGTACAGCAAACAGTCAAAAGATCCCAATATGGCTTTCTGATTTCTCTGTAGATTTCGAAGAGAAAATAAGCAATGTTGACCTAAAGAAGCCAAGAAAATAAAAAATTCATATGCTGGGGTAAAATGTGTGAAAAATAATGAGAAAAAAACATTCAACAAACTGTCTCAACAAACTGTGCTAAAAAACAAGAACCTTTTCTTCACGAAAAAATTAAATAAAGTGCGATTAGAATTTACCACGCAAAAGGTAAAAGTAGAAAAGATCTTCGCACTACATAATAAATAAAACAAACCGTACAAAGAGAAGAAGTAACACCCAATTTTCAACAGACTGAAAAACTTTGTAGTTAGGAAGATTAGGAAAACGTTAAGTTCCAAGTGACTCAAGTTTTCCCCAATCCTTTTCTTTCCATCAAGCGCTTCTCACGTTCCATGCGCCTTTGCATTTGTTTTTCTCGTCTCTCTCTAGCACGATGCTATAATAGGTTGAAAAGAGTAATTTTACGATTAATTATGAACAGAAAATCAGGAAACGTTCGTTACAAAAAGACCTAATAACAAAAAACTTCAAAAAGAACATTAGGAAACCTCCTTTAAAACTTCGTCAACAGCTTCACTGTCCACCACGTCGTCCCAATTATCAGTTTCGTCTTGCGATACATCATCCAATAAACCTAATTCTCCAGATGAGACCTGAAGTGTGTGAAGATTATGTCTTCGTTTAATATAAGAAAAAAACAAGTAAAACAGACTTAAAAAAAGGTATCAAACTAACAACTAAAGAGGGATCAGCATCAGCAAAAGCAAATAAATTTGGACGAGGACGACCAGGTTTTTGTTGCTGTTTTGGATTCCCAATATACGCCTAAACGTAGTTAACTTTCATGTTCTGATAAAATTTAAAAAAACAGTTTGCATCGCATTTACTGACCTTCCTAGTCTGTTTTAACTTCGGTTCCATGTCGTTAAAATAATTTGGTTCTTCAGGTAATTCAGGCTGTTCCAGAGACTCTTTCACTTTTTTTCTGTACTCTTCTATTTTTTCCTCGACCGTATTCGCAAACGCGTTTTTTTCCCAATTATCCCAACGATCTGAATCCAGCTCTAAAGATAAGTACGAAATATTTTTAAGATACTTATAATAGTCAATATTAAAATCCCAAAAAAAGCAAACTTGTCTCATACTTAAAACTTTTAAGTTAGCGTTGCAAGTGTTGTTATTGATAACTAGTAAAGAAATTCCTAAGTAAAAAAAAGAAGTGGTGAACGGTAACCCGTAACAACAACGACGATAATTTGTAGAGAACAGGCTTAAAATTGCAACCAAAAAAAAAATTACCCCACTGTCGATCACCATTTCCCGCTGGAACCTTCTCCACAATTACTGAAAACGGCACGTAATCTTCACTTTTTTTCCTTCTCCTCCAACAACAAAAAACCGCCTCACAACATTTAATATAAATAGTAATACAGACTTCAGTTTCCTGCATACCATTTTTACCAAGTGCTCAAGTTAGCTTGTTACCAAAAAAAAATCCCATAACCCCAGCATATAACTCTGAAAAAAGTTAATTGTACAAGAGAAACAACACCTTCCTCAAAAAAAGACAATTCTCTCCTTTCTTCTTCATACATCCTATTCAAATTTTTACACTGCTCCATCAATTATCCATGGCGAATAGGCACGCTGCATTTCTTGGCAGAACTATTATAACGATTTTATTGAAAATACAACATGATTATATGTCCAAACACTATTTACAAACGTACACATGAGCATAAAAAAATTGTGTGAACACAGTTTTATGTACAGATACTGTAAAGAGGGTTTTTAGAAGAAAGCAGTGACGGAAAACTACAACAACAGAACGGCTGAAAACCTCTACAAGACAGTAATTGACCCGTAATTATCTAAAATCTGTTAGACAAAAATGGTTCCAACTCCCCATCAATAAAAAAAGCTTCATGAGTTTTACTCTAACTCATCTGTCATACCACTACGCTGAAATTACTCAATGGTATTAAAAAAAAGCACCAGTTAAACTTGCAAAAAAAAAGAAGTACTGTTGAGGCAAGAATAGATGATTACAACCAGTTCCAGGCAAAAGTAATATTACAAGATCTCTAAAGGGTATCTATCGTTACGGTATAACAAAGGCAATACCAGTTTTTTGTTTAAAATCCATTGAGAGTGAGATTATTTTTAGATAAGAAGTCTAACATATCTTCATATCCCTTATAGTAATAATCACGAAGAACTTCAACTGATGGAGGAAATAACGCTTGTCGTCCACGCCAAAGATTATTCATGTTCACCTAAAAAAAAATAAAAACGTGACTTAAATCTGAAAAGAGACTGAAAAAACCAAGAATCGCAAGAATTACAAGTTAACAGAGACATGTAAAAGATAAATAATGAAAGATGCACCTTAAACTCTTGAGTACCAAACCGGAAGTTTAAATCCATCAAAGGAACAATAGATCCTTCATCTTTTGGAGACACCATTGCATTGCCGCTAAACGGTGATATAGTGATAGTTGGAATATCGAGGAAGACAGGTAAATTGTTAGTGTAACCACCGTCTATGTAAACCTTAAAATATCATTCCGAATATACAATTAGAAGACTTCGAGCAAAAAACTTTCTACTCTACTCCCAAAAAGATGAATCAACAATAAAAACAAGAAAACTCTAATGAATGTTTAAGACATATACCTCGTCATCAATTAGTGGTCGAGGAGCATTAAAATCAAGACCCATAGAATACATTGGTATATAACAACTTGCAAACAAACAGTCCATCAGATGACTACGCGACACGAAGTGAGATACTAACACATTCTTATAGTCCTTAATAAGTAGTTTGATATTAATCAATTAGGACGTGAAAAATAAAGCTTGCTTCTTTATTGCCGAAATATATTTTAATTTTACCACAAATTCTTCTACAGAAAAGTTTAACAGTAAGCGTCAAAAAACTCTTAACAAACCTTAATTCCTCTTCAGTTAGCAATCATTAGATTTCCTCGCCGTGAAGAGAAGAAAAAGAACAAAACAGAAAGCGAGAAAACCCAAAAAATTTTATATTGACACAAAAACTAATAATTAAAAAGAATCTTCCAAAAGATTAAGCAGCAAAAGTTGCCAAAAACCAAAAGTATAAAAAACCTAAAATTTCAAATGACTGTTACACACTAGACCCCAAAGTTTTAGGATAAGGCAACAATTTTTTTAGCACAAGTATGTAACATTTTCTTTCTAAAAAACAGTTTAACAACATTTTCAAAGAGATTCAAAAACAATGAAAGCGAGCACAGTTTAGCTTAACACCTCTAAAAATTTTCATAACGCTGAAAAAAAGAACGCAAAAAAACCGACATATTTTCATCTTCAACAAACTAAGATTATCTTCCATCTTCTTGAAGAACTCAGTATAAACTTGGAAGAAATACGCTGGAACCCCCCAAAATTTTTTCAGAAGTACTTTACTTTCAAGAATGCCTAATAATTTTTAAACTCATTTGACTAAGACAGGCTTTATGCCTATACATCGCCCATGAAAGACAGTTTAAAAAGAAGGTAAAGGAAAATATGAATTGAAAAAATGCATGGTTTTTAAGTGTCGCGACCTCAGGTAACCTAAAACTACCAAAATCCACAAATAGCTATAAAACACAACGTCCATTTATTTTTAAAAAGAAAAAGAACAAGTACTGCAACTAAAGATTGTTCTTCTACAAAAACAGTTTAAAAATACCCTTCTCCTAGTAAGTGATATGTAGAGATTATCTTGAGCGCGAGATATATCATCTGGTATAAATGCTTCTACGATACTAGCTAACTTCTCGCTAAGGCGAAACCCTGAAGTCCATGCGCCAAACCGTAAACTACTAACTTCTTTAGCCAGAGAATACATCTTATCCAAGCCGTCCTAAATAAAAAGCTTCCTCAGAAAGTAAGATAACAATGCCAATCTAATTTCTTAAAATATCCACTTCTTCCTAAAGTGTGCGTAACTAGACGAAATTCATAACGAATAAATAACGGTACAAAAAAACCTCGATTTTTTCTGGGGCAAGCACAGAGACAGCAGCTACCAGAGAACCTGAAGACGCCCCAGCACACCTAGCAACTCTTTTGTTTAAATCCTGCAAAAAACGCGCTAAACGGCTTTTACAACAAAACTGCTCTAAAAAGACATTTATATACCGGTCTATTCTTTGAGAGACACGTTAAAACTCCAAAATGGTAAGTCCCCAGAAAACCACAACCGCTGAAAGAAAGAGCCAATTTTGAATTGTCTGCTGAAACAGAAACAACGGTGGCGGATAAATGACACAGAAATTGAATTACTGATACTATTACTATTAGTATTACTACTTAATTCAGCTTCTTTATCATAATTAATTAACCAAAAAACCTGTGAAAAATCATAATTTTACAACTTTCATCTACCTTTTGCCGTAAAATCAAGTTGCTATCATCGTTCAGTTATTATTTAAGCCACTAGCATACATATGCAAGAAAAATAAAACGTCCAGATTTTTAGCAATAACGTTTATTTCCTCTGATTTACCCCTTTAAGGTTTGAATAATTTCAACAATTAGTGACAGCATTAATAACTCTAAACAACAAAAGAAAAATCAGTAGAACTAACCTGCAAATTTTACAGGTAGCAACAAGTTTCTAGTTAAGCAAACCATGGTTAGTAGTCGTTAGTGCCGATGTTACAGCTGAAATTAGTCGAATGAGTAAGACGTGTATCCGGGTCGCAGAAACTCAGCAGAATCAAGAATTAAAATTAATAACTGCGTTCAACATATTAAATTTCATTTTGCAGTTCCAATACCATTCCTGTAGTTTCCATTGAAGCAGAGCCATGAATCAACTAAACTATTTAAAATTATGAAGAATAAACATAGAAAAATAAAAATTTTCTTACTTCACAAAAAAAGCAGTATTTTAATGCAAATCATATTACGTTTTATAGACCGAGCGAAGGAGGTAGCAGGGAAATTTTTGATGCATCAACTTAAAGCAAAATGGCTTCTACCACTCCGTATACTACTTTCGGAACTTTTTTAAATTCCATAACGTTATTTAAAAAGTTGAACTCCTTTCACATTAACAAAAACAAGTACGTAAAAACATTTTATTCCGACTAATACAACAAACCCAAGCAGCCCCTTCCTTGACCCGACGCATATACCTCGTGAATGGACAGAAATAGCGTAATGGCAAAAGATGTCTCAAACAGTCGTAAAAACAGATGCATTATACCCAGCCAATTACATCCAAATATTTATCCACCATTTCGACATCAAAAAAAAAATTCTTCATGATAAACAAGGAAGTCCTCCTGACGCTGCTCTAAAAATCTACGGTGATCCTTCTACCCTGTGTTACAATATAGCTCAGATTTAAAGATACGTAGAAATGAAAAATTCTCTGTTTGAACTTAAAACAATTCAAAAGCCCTACTACACAAAAAAGTAACGCTGGTTTCTCTATGAATCCTTCAAAGTACCCAAAGAATAACGGATAAGATCAGTCCAATTTGTATTTTCAGGGAGTCAGCAACTTCCAATTTTTCTAGGTTTCGAATAAAATTTAAAAGAAAACATTAAAAAACTATTTATTTCATAAATACTTATGCTACTTAACGATTAAAAATCTAAAAAAACGATTTACATAGCTGAAAAATATTATGGCGTGTTAAATTAGTTTTAACCGCATGCTATATACATAGATAGTCCGTTTCATTTCCAATCTGGTGCGAAAATTTTTTCGTGGTGGGATGAGAGCTACAGTACTCAGATCGGCTGGCAACTCATTAAAAGTTGCGACCTACATCCACAATAAGCTCTGTTTAGCTGGTTTATTCTTGGAAATCTGCAGATTTTTTGACATCATTCGATTCCTTAAATTTGTGGCTATCGATCTATTGTTATCTCATTCTGTTCTGTAGCGTAGTTGCCGAGATATTTGCCAAAATGTAAAGTTGAAGCCCATTTTTAAATTGCTTTTTTCTGTGATTTTGTATTAAAAATTATGGATGTTTGAGACATACGATTTTTTTCATTTTTTGCATATAGGTTCCTTGAATAGTGTTCTTTAGAAAAATGAAATTTAATTGGGGGTTTGCCGAGCTTTTTT